GTAGACTAACCCATCCCAACAGTACTTTAACAAGAGGTGAATCCCAAGCATATTGTTCTGCTGTTCTATAAAGCTGCACAGAGAACACACAAAATTGGTCAAATCGAGTCCTACTTTCCCAGCTGCATAATCTACAAATTCATTTGCTAAATTATACTTCCAGGCTTTGGAAACTAGATAGGCCCAACCTACCATTCTTTACTAGGTCTACCTAAACCTTCTCTCATGTGGGTTTGTTGTTCTTATTTTCTTGTTTTGTTTTATTTTCTTAAGAAATGTACCCTGGAAACCAAGCCAGTCCTGCCTCTATGCCTCTGCCACACCAGAAAACCCCTGACAGCATCCTTTGGAGAAAATTTAGCAGATGGATGAAGCTGCAACTATTTTTCAAAGCTTTTAAGCTCCATTAACACTCATTTACTTCAAGTGTCTGAAAGCACTTAAAAAAAAAAAAAAAAAAAAAATTCTCTGCCGTCAGTCGGATCTGACTCATAGCGACCCCTCCTTGGGTTTCCGAGGCAGTATCACTACAGAAGTAGATTGTGCAACCTTCCTTCTGAGGATTCCAAGTCACAGTGATCTTCAAATAATTTGTTTTATCAGGAGGGAACAGGTGTTTATATATTTGAAGATAGATGTACTAGTATTCTGGGGTCTTGTGTCACAAGAGGTCTAATTCTGGAAGAGCTGAAGAGCTATCTCCTTTTCCCAGCCTTTACTGTCATTGACTCCTCACTGCCATCCCTATAGGCTGGAAGGAAGTACTGTGACTCTTTCTCTCAGCATAAGGCTAAGGAAGACTTCCTTCTTGCAATCCCTCACATGGCCCCAGAGTAACACCATATAAAGAGACTAAATTCTTTTTTTATTATTTTTATTATGATTTGGGTGATAGTTTGCAGAGCAAATTCATTTTCCATACAGCAGCTCACATATGCTTTGTCTCATGACAATTTCCCGCAGTGCAACAGCTCCCCTCCCACTTCCTCCCCAGAGTTACCTCTTCCCTGTGTCCTTCCTCCCATGCACTCCTGTCCCCAGAGCTGTCTCCCTGTGCATACACAGCCCTTCATTCCCTCACAACTGATCTCTCCAAGGAGTGTATCTACCTAATGTAAATGTTCAGCTCATATGACTGTCTTTTGTTGGGCTGGAAGCCACAGGAATGGGTTCAATTCCAGACCTGAAGGGCAGCTGGGGCCATCAGGCTCTATCAGACCAGCAAACCTGGTCTTTTTTTTTTTTTTCCAATGATGTTGAGTTTTGTTCCACATTGTTCTCCCACTCTATCTAGGATTTCTTACATAGATCTCCCGCCAAGTGGTTGACAGTGGTAGCTCAGCACCATCTAGCTCTTCTGGTCTCATAGTCATATAGGCGGAGGATCACATGGTATACCAGTCACTTGGACTAATTGTTTCCATGTGTCTCAGGTTTTCTTCATTCTTCTTTGCTCTGGCCAAAGAGAAACCCATTGTTGCATCTAGATGGCCCCTTGCAAGCTTTTAAGATCCCAGTAACTACTCACCAAAGTAGGATGTGGAACAATGTTTTGGGTAGTATGTTATGCCAACTGAGCATGATGTCCCCTGCAACTATGGTCTGGAGCGCACATCCAACCACTCACTCCCTCTGGGTAGCTGGCTGTGGTCAAGAAGCGACTACAAC